CAGGCTGACATAGATGACCAAGGTAAATGTGATGTAGTAAAGGGGGGATGCCTAGATCACCCTTGACTCAGAACTTAGGGAAGAGGATAGAAAGGAAAGAAATTCAGGGGGGAGGAAGAAGATGAGAAATGAAAGTAATGAGGAGCAGGGGTCAAGAACTGGCTACACTGGTAATATGGGAGATTGGTACAGGCATGTATCCAAAGTACAGACTCAACAACACTGAAAACATGAGATCTAAGCTGCAACCACTGACCTTTGTAATGGGCCTTTTAAGGTGGCAGCCATGGCCGGTGGGGAGGGGAGAGAGATGAAATATGGAAACACTGGTGGAGAGAAAGTTGGCACTTGTGGTGGGATGGGTGTTGAAATATTATATGCTTAAAACTCAACTATTAATAAGCTTGCAAACTGTAGTTCTTTGAGAAGCCTGGCAAGCTCTCCATGGCATATTCGATATGCCAAAAACAGTAACAATAACGGGTCTCATTCCCCTGACCCTGAAAGAGCCTCCAATACGGCAGCATTGGGAAGGACGAGTAAGAAAAAGCTGCTAAAATCTCAGGGCTGGGACGAATGGAGATATTATTGGCGCCCACTCGAGTAACCCGATGAAAAATGGGATAACAGTGATACAGTGGTTCTTTAAATTTTTAAATATTTGCCCCACCCCCAATACATAAGAAAGACAGTAGGAAAAACTGCTTCAATCAGGAGGCTGCCGGTTGCCTTAGGGAAGTGAGTCCTCCAGGGGTGCTCCCTGAACACAGTTGGGTGTAGCCCTAAAACAGAGAGAGAGGAGGGTGGGGGGGAGGGAGGGAGGTATAGGGAGGGAGGGAGGCATCACCACATAGCCCCAAATCACTGTCTTGTGTACTGGGAATGCCTCTTCTCTCATTCCCCAAGAAATGAAATGATCTAAATTCAAAGTTTTATCCCTGAAAGGACAACGAGAAACCGTGTAAAGTAAAATCTCACAAAGAAATAAAAGCCGGGTATTGATTGGACATCTCAAAGGTTTTATGAGGTCATAGAATCTAATCCCTATAGTGGTATCTCTTCCTTGCTGCCCCAGGACAGGTTGGGTGACTCCTGGGTATGCATCAGCGTTCCATCACACTTCTTACAATCATGCTTACCCATTTTTTTATGAGGCTGTTTTGTTTACACACTCTTCACAAGCAGGGACTATGCCTAAATGCTGAGCGTGTTGAGGGTGGATGGATGAATGAACAGTAAAGTCTGCTCTTGTTTATCTCATTCTGGCCATCCATTGACTCTGTTCATGACTCAGGGGCCAGGGTTACAACTTGTATTTTATGGATGAGGAAACTGAAGTTCCCGGTTCTTTAAGACTAAGACAAACCTTGTTCACAGTCAAGGCCATCTGGTCGGTGGATAGTGATACAGTCACTGCAGCCCAGTGCTCCTGACCCCAAATCTCTCCTTTGCCTGCACCATTCTCTGCTCTTTGACTCCTCAGCCTCAGTCTCTTGTGGGTTTTATTTAAATAATGACCCTACATAAGGATCTTTTTCTGGTATGTGGTGGTGGCCAGTTGCCATATTTTGAGTGTGGAGGTACCGCTTTCCCATAACCCACTGAGGAACAGGATCCATAGGGGCTGGCAGAAGCATTTCTCCTGGGGACAGCATAGGGCTGCAGCAGGTCAGCACCCAAGCCCCAGGCAGGGACAATCCTTGGAGCTGGGGCTTGAGTTCAACTTTGTGTTCTTTGTTGCGAGACCCTTTGACAGTCAGTTCAACATTTAGAGGTTAGGTCTTTCCTCCATTTCTGTTTGCTTTGTTTCCCTCAGGTTCCTTAAGACTAAAACATCCAATCAAGGCAATTGGGTTCCAGTTAATATTTGCATTCCTTTTTAATTGTTACCTATTCTTTACTAATTAACCAGTTCTTTGATCTAAGCAGGCAGTGAACTCTCAACAAGTCCAGTTCCAATAGGTTGCGTTACTATTCTGGTACAGCTATACTAACCCAGCCCCTCTTTTTACTCTCTTTTTCTAGGATCCCTGGAGAACACTCAAAAGTGAGCATCTGAGGAGAAATCAAACTTAATATCTAATTTAATTAGACATAATGGGAAATTACTTGGAGTGGGAGTAACACATGTGAGCAAATGTCCCAATTTACCTTAGTCGTGAGATGTAGGGTAGGTGATTTTACTGACTTCAGTACAATAATGATTCCAATACATGATCCCTGAACCCGCAGTAGCTCCTTCCAAGCCTCTCTGTTTCTCTGCTACATTTCATTTTCTAAAGTCCATAATAACAAATCAGAGACACTTCCTTACAAACTAGTCTCAAAAACCCACAAGCTTGCTCAACACTCAAGCTCGCTGGAGGCTCTTTATCGGGAGGTGTAGGCAGAGAAAGGTCAGCCTTAAGCCTGCTGTGGTCTGGGAGTGTGTGTGACACATTGTCTTTGTAACTATTTCCTTTTAAAGACTGCAAACCCCAACCTCAATTCTCTCCCCTCCCCTCCCCTCCCCTCCCCTCCCCTCCCCTCCCCTCTCCTCTCCTCTCCTCTCCTCTCCTCTCCTCTCCTCTCCTCTCCTCTCCTCTCCTCTCCTCTCCTCTCCTCTCCTCTCCTCTCCTCTCCTCTCCACATCCTCTCCTCTTCCTCTCCTCTCCTCTTCCTCTCCGCTCCTCTTCCTCTCCTCTTCTCTCCTCTCCTCGCCTCTTCCTCTCTTTTCTCTCTTCTCGCCTCTCCTCCCCTTTCCTCCCCTTCTCTCTCCTCTCCTCACCATTCCCCTCTTCTCTTTCTTTCTTTCTTTCTTTCTCTCTCTCTTTCTTTCGTTCCTTCTTTCTTTGTTCAGGTAACATGGTTCAAATAATTAACTTTTATGTTTTTGATGAACAAAATTATTGCACCTCACACCAAAGTCCTGAGACAACCCACCACTGTCCTTGTATTTCTTCTAATTGCATCTTCCTTGTCCCTCCCCTCACTTATTACACTTATTAGTAATCTAAGTTTTGCAATCGAAGCCAAAGATCTGTCCTCACTCAACATTGTCTATTCATTCCCTTGTTTTGCTTCTCTAGATCTACAGATGAGTGGGATTACCTGGTGTTTATTCTCCTTCCTGACTTCTTTCACCCTCCAGTTCCATCCATATTGCAGTATATTCAAGATTTTTTCTTTTCTTACCACTATCTAGTATTCCATTGTGTGCTTATAGTACGACTTCTTTATCCATTCATCTGTTGTATCCTCACTATTGTATTGAGTACTGTAAATAACACAGATACTCATACACTTTTTTGAATTAGTGATTTTGTGTTTTGGGGGTAGACACCAAGAAATGGGCTCACAGGAAGCTCTATTCTCAGATTTTAAGATTCCAGACTGTTTTCCATAGCATCTGAACCACATAATATTCCTCCCAACAGTGGATGGGATCCCTTTTCTGCCACATCCTCACTGGCACTGGGTTTTTGAAACTGGTTTCTAGTCTCTACGCCCTTATTAATCCAAACAATAGCTGAACTGATAAGGGACAGAACAGTAGCACCCTAGCATTGTGGGGAAATTTTCAGCGAGAACCTGCCCTATTCTTTCCAGATCTCAGCAGATGGTCAGATCAGGACTTTACTGGTCCCAGAAGCCAGGCTGCAAGGCAGTGCAGGGCTGAGGGCTGGGTCTGGGCTGGCTCCCAGGACAGGAAGAAGGCAGGAGAAGCCTGTGGTGGGTAGATCATGGCTGGTGTGGCCACCCGTCACAGGCCACAGGGTCTGAGCAATAATGCCTGGGGGCGGCAGGGAGCCAAGGAGGTGACTCCAGACCCAGCAGTGTAGACATACACAACAGCTCAGGAAACATTACTGATCAGAGCAGAAAGAACATGTTGCAGGGTGATTTAGAGTGCTGGACAATGGGTTTGTAAAACCTCTGACTTAACCACCAACACAGGCTACATGCCACGGGGTTCAGCACTAGGATTCAAGACTTGATGCCCATGAACACTTATTTGAAAGAATATAGATCTGTGGGTGTGGGAGACAGTCCTTCAGGCAGGGTGCACGCCTGGCATGTGCCTGCGAGGGGTTCTGTTTTGAGCATGGCCCAGAGCAGCCCATGGCTGCAGAGCACTGCTGGGCCTGGTCCTGATCTGCAGTGCAGCAACGGCATTGCATTCTCTGCCTCTTGCACTAAGCTCTGAGTTCACCAGAGGTTCCCTGTTCCTGCTGTCATCTTCGGAGCTTTGCTTGGGAGACCAGAGTCAGCCCTCACCTCCCAAATAAAAAAGAAAGAAAAGAGAAAGAAGAAAAATAGAATACAGGTATGTGAGGCCAGTGGGCAGATGGGAGCAGCAGGTGATGTTGCTGCAGAGGACGCAGGACCCGGGCCGGTACCCAAACCCTGACTTCCAGCAGGGTCCCAGCAAGCTTCCTGGGGGAAAGCAGAGAACCAGCATAAGCCTTGGAACCTTGGCAGTTCCTGAGAGAAACAGCGATTGTTCAAGTAAGGCTGTTTCAGGTGCTGTTCATCTGTTCTCAATTACTCTGGATCTAAAATGCAAAGATAAGACCTTCTGGGGTGCAGTGTATGCTATGTACAATCTATAGAAGTTGTGAGTTTGGATGTAGACCCTCGGCCGTCTTGTCCAGTCCCTCACTGCCCAGTCAGGTAGGCATGCCTGAAGGAAGCTTCAGTCCAAATGGCAGTGTCCTTGGAGAGCTTCCTATAAGGGACCAAGGTGGGGCCGTCCCAGCCAGTCCCCGAGCGGGGTCCCTGCCCAGCCCCGCGCGGCAGCTCCCCCAGACGAGCGGGACGCAGGCACTTCTGCAGGCAGGCGGTCCTTGCCCGTCCACCCCCGCCCCCCAATGACATCATGTGTTTGTGGCCGAGTCGCTCCTTAAAAGCGGCGGGCAGGGCGCCAGGAGCCCCAGAACAGACGAGCTCGCCGGGCGCCCAGGTGCGCGCACGTGGCCCCGTGCTCTGCAGCCTGAGCGAGCGCGCCGGGAGCAGCCGGGATGCCCAGCCACCTCCTGCACCCCGGGATGCCCCGCCGCCGCCCGCACCCCGGGGTGCCCCGCCGCCGCCTGCACCCCGCGGCCGTGGCCGCGCTCCTGGTCGCCGTCTTGGAGCAGTCGCCCGCCGGCGCGGCCCCGCTCAACGGTAACGTGCCCGAGACTCCCCGCGCGCGGCCACGCGTGGACGGCCCAGTTCCAGCGAGGCTTTTCCATGAATATTTTTTTTCCTAGCAGGGGGACCGGCGGGGGACTGGGTGTGGGGGGGAGGGCGTTAGGAAGGGGCGAGGGGCGTCCTGTCCCTTTGGAACGCGCGAACTCGCCACGGCGGTTGCTAGAAGCCCCTGGTCTTCTGCGACATAGGTTGGTTCTGACTCTGAGCGCCCCTAACTCCGGAGGGGAACCGTGGGACCCTGGGCCAGGGCCAGAGACCCCGGGGTGGGCTCCACGTGCGGGTGCAGCGCTACCCCGGTGCGGGGGGTCCGCTGCTGCCCGGCCCCCCACGCTGACCGCGGTGCCCGGCGGCGCGACCGCTCCCCCCATTAACTTCGCCTCCGAGTCCAGGGATGATGCACCCGTCCTTAATCATTGTTTTCTCCAGGAGGCTCCACTACCCCCCCATACGAGTGCGTGTGCTTACGCACCCTGTTTCAGGGGGTAATTAGGGCCTTTGACTCCCAAGGGCTGGAGCCCGAGGGAGCCGAGCGAGGCGGGAGAAAGAGCAGCAAACCCACAGGAACCCGGGCTCCTGCCAGCGGCGGTCAGGGTCAGCGCACCTGAGCCGGGAGCAGGACTGCATGCTAGGTCCCGGGACTGAGTGGCCACCCCCTGCCCCGACAGACTTGCACACAAGTTGGAGAGGCGCTGGTCGGTGCTCCAATTCCTGGGCTCAGGCCGCCTGGACCTTTACAGAAGGACCCAAAGTGACTCTTGATAGCCGGCAACCATCCCCCTGACTCCCTCAAAGGTCACTGTGCCCTTGAGGGCAGATTAGGAATTACTGGGGCGGCTCCTGTCACTCCCCTTTGTTGTGGAGAAATAGAAGGTAGGTGGGAAAAATAAGTTGTGGAAAAGTGGAGAAATTTTAAATTGCTGACTGATCCATGTCCCTCTCTGCAAACAGCTCAGCTGAGACCGAAAGTTTCTCTTGAATTCTCCCCTTTCCCTCTGAGCTGTTCATTGTTTCTCTGTCCAGAAAGGCTCTGAGTGCCCCCTGCCACCCCCTCCGTCCTCCCCCTCACCCCTGCCCTTCCTCCCACCGCCTCCCCTGCCCTCTCTGCCCAGCTTCCTGCCCTATCCTCACCCTTGTCCTTATGCCCCAATCTCATCCCTTTGTTCCTCTCTCTCCTTTTCCTCCCCCTTTTCCAAGGAAGATTGGAAGTTTGGGGCCAGGGATGTAGTTCAGGAGGTAGAGCTCTTGTATCCTATGTGCAAGGTCCTGAATTCATCCTCAGCAACACAGACGCCCTGCAGCAACGCAAGTGTGCCTCCCCCAAATAATTTACTGCCTCCTTGAATTGAGTAGCCAGTCCGTGGACCCCTACATTCTAAGGATTCTGCTTTGATTCTTTTCCCTCCTGTAGCTCTCTTGAGTCAAGGGATAATGTCAAAGCAAAATACTGAGACATTGCGCGTTGGGGCGAGTGCTAAACTGAGAAGTGGAGTCAGGGCATGGTTGGCCTCTGCCTGGAGTAGTTCAGCTTTTGACACTTACGGAATGAAAGAGAAAAATCAGGGTGTGAGGGAGATAATCAGATGAAGTGTTGTGTCTTTTGGAGAACATCCGGAAATCTACTTCCTGTGGCTGCCAGCGGAAATTTGTGGGAGCTGTGGTTCAGAGCCTCCTGCAGGGTTGGCATTGGGGCAGCAGGCAGCCATGCAGAGAGGTTCCAGCACCCATGACAGGAAGCTGCCAGGCTCTGAACCCCTGACCTAGATCCTTGTTGATAGCGTTTGCTCAGGGAGCACCCAGAGAGTACAGACAGGTCTGCAGGTTCTAACAGGCACTGTTCAACCTCAGTCTCCCAGAGAGAAGGCAGCGCCTTCTTGGGGTGTGGGGAGTTTCCTCTTGGAAGGGCCTTGTGGGGTCAGTGGACTTGGTTTCGTGAGGTTCCTGTTTCTCAGGCTGGGGACCATGAGTGTCGCTTCCACCTCTCTGGAAATTTCCTGGCAACCTTCTTAAAGCTGACCCATCACCTCTCTGGGCCCTGATCTTCACTCAGGCACCCCTGAACTCCATCACTCTCCCTTTTCTGGTGCTTCTTCTCCCAAGCCCCTGCAGACAGAGGTTCTCAGTCAGAGGCCAGAGACAGGGCAGGCGTCTCAGGAGACAGTTCTGGGACTGGCTCACCCCGAGCCTTGCAACTCCCCACAGGCGCTCTCTAAACATGGGTCCCCAAGCTTCCCCGAGAGCTGCCAAGCCTCAGTGGGGAGAGCGGCCAGGTCCCCTTCAGTGAGCTTTTGGAGGACCGCAGGAGAGGGAGGTATTAAGACCTAGATTGAACTTGTATGTGGAGCAAGGCAGAGCAGCCCTGAAACAGAGGTTTCATGGGTGCCCTTCAGTGTCACCTACAGCCTAGGTCCCTTCAGGGAAGGCAGCAAGGAAGAGTTCCTGATTCCTTGTGATGCTTCCTGTCCCAGGCCTGCAAATGCTCCACCCGGCTAAGTGGCAATGATCTGGCTTCCTCCATTTCTGGAATCTATCATCAAATTTTATTTATTGATTTGATTTGTTCTTTTGCCTTCCCTGTTATTGTTTTTGCTGTGATGATTGGGATCACACATATTTATGTGGCGCCCTTGTCCTAACACCAGGGATCTAAATGCCGCTGGCATTTGGCAGGTGGCACTTGTGGTACTTGGCATGTGGGCTGGTGCCAGGGATCTAACTGAATCTAACTGGTATCCAGGGTAGGCTCTTGGCCACTAAGCTATTCCCAACCTACTCCATGATTTCATTTATTAATTAGTAAATCATAGATATTTAGGTATTAATAACAATTAAAGCAATCTATTAAGTGGCACTACCTCTCCCCTACACACACACACACACACACACACACACACACACACACACACCCCTGATGGAAAAGCCTCAAGAAGAAAGGCTTGCTGTCTTTGGTATCTTGGCCTTAAGGCAGGGCTTTCTTTGTTCCTTCTTGCTCCTATCTCCTGCTAGAAGTGGTGTGTGTGTGTGTGTGTGTGTGTGTGTATGTGTAGGAGGAAGTCATATACAGGCTGGTTTCTCCATATCTATGGTAAAATGGTCTCACCCACTACGGGTTCACTTTGGTCCTGTTCAGTCCTACTGGGGAGATCTGTGACAGGTTTCAGAGCTCCTGTGGGTTTCCTTAAAGTTACTTGCACGTGAGATTTTAGGGATGTAAGGTAATCACTTTGGGGGGGTGGTTGTTTTTGTTTTGGAGCCCTACCTGGTGGTGCTCAGGGCTTATTCCTGGCTCTGCACTCAAGGATCACTCCTGATGAGCTCGGGGGACCATATGCAATGCCAGGAATTGAACCCAGGTCAGGGATATGCAAGACAAGTGCCCTACTTACTGTACTCTCACTAGCCATAATGATGGAACTGTTTGGGGGCTAGGTGCACAGTTCTCAATGGATGTTTTAGGGACTCCAGGCCTCTGAAGACTCAGGGGTGCATGTGCCCTCTGTGCCGGGGCAAATGTGAAGTCTTATTTCTAAGCAGACATGACTGTGTGCATCTCACCTTGTCGGCTTTCAGTTCTGCATCCCTAAAGGAGGTGGAGGGTTAGGTATGTGTCCTCAACCTTCCCCTTCCAGGATGAGAGCCATAAACAAGCCCAGACCAGTTATGAAGATGGTCTAGAGAGATGGAGAAATAATGGCAAAAGAATCCATTCCAAAGTGTTCAAAGTGGCCACACTGGGATCAGGGAAATAGCTGGGGGATATTTTCTATTTTATTATTTGTTTGTTTTTGCACTACATCCACACCCCATAAACCAATAACAAGGCTTACTCCTGGCTCTGTGTTCTGACAGTTCTCTTCTGACAGTGTTCAGGGAATTATATATGGTCCCAAGATTGAACCAGGAGTCATTGAGTGCAAGGCAAATGCCTTAACATGTACTATTTCTCTGGTCCAGGACTGAGGTGTGTTTGTTTTGTTTTTAATTTTTCCTTTGTTTACTTTTGGGGGGAGCCACACCTAGCAGTGCTCAGTGTTTGTCTCTGCACTCAGGATTACTCCTGGTGGTACTTGGGGACCATGCTGGGTGCCAGGAAGAGAACTCAGGTTGTCTGTGCTGTACTATTGCTCCACTCTCAGGGTTGAGATTTTTTAAGCAAAAAATTATAGAATTAGCTGACTTCTCAGGGGCAAGTTTAATCTGAAACGATCACCAACAAAATTAGAAAATTAGAAACAACATTAATTCAAAATCCTGAGACAAAGAAATGAAGTAGAACTTTAACGAAGCATGTGAAACTAGGGGCCAAGTATGTAGCTCAGAAGAGTACATGCCCCGGTGTCTCAAAAACAAAGCAAAACAAACAACTAAAGTCATGGCCAGAGAGAGAGTACAGTGGTTAGAAAACGTGAACCAACCCTGGGTTTTGTTTTGGTTTTTTCAGGCCTCACCTGGCAGTGCTCAGGGCTTACTTTGGATCTGTGCTCAGGGATTACTCCTGGTCTGGGAAACCATATGGACTTCAGGAAATCAATCCCTGGTCAAGATCCATGCAAGGCAAATACCTCATCCTCTGTACTATCTCTCTGACCGACCAGCCCTGGCACTGTTGGGATGGTCCTGATGGTCTCCAGCATTGCAGGACCCAAGCACATGCAGTTCCTAGCCTTAAACCGAAGGCCCAACTGGCTAGGCATTGAACAGTCCCTGATTGTGGCTTAGAAGGGTCTCCTGGGACAGGATAAGGGGCCTGAGCAGCTGTGTGTTCCCAACTTCCCCTGGACCTGGCCACATTCCATTGGCCTCCTCCTGGAGGTAAGGGAGCTGTGGTCAGGCAGAACACTGAGGGCTTAGCTCTGAGGTGACATTTTCCCAAACATCCAGTGATGGCTTCTTGTCCCTTGCTTTGTGTTGCATTGTCTGGAGCTGTACACTTGCTGGTGGTGCTCGGACACACTGACTGATCCATCCAGGAGATCATACACTCGTGGAGCAGCTACAGGATCAGACTCAGGAATGTGGGGGGGGGGGGGTGCCGGGGATCACAGTCATGGCCTCACGCTGTCACTGAGCCATCCTGGGCCCTGGAATGTGTTGTTTCGAAGCACTCAGCTCTTGTGTGGAAAGTGTGGAGTGGGAGAGGGGGGGAACTTCTCCACGTCCTCTGTGGCTCTGCCTCTCACGACAGTGGCAACTCCCTTGAGGGGAAACTGTCTTTTGCAGTGTGGGTTCTCTCTGTGCTGAGACCAACCGCCGTCGACTGTAGGATGTGTTGTTAGTGGGAGAAAGCTGCAGAAATTGTGTTTCCAGCTTCGTGTGGGCAAAGAATAGAGACACGGGGGCCAAGGAGGGGGTTCAAGTGGCAAAGCACATGCCCGGCATGATGGGGCCTGAGATTAGCCCCCTGGTCACTCCATGTCCCTCTCTCCCAGCCCTACTGGGTGTGGCCCTGGTGGTTCACAGAATGCTCAGGCCCACGCCACAGGGTGAGTGTTCAGGGACAAGGCCTGGACTCCCCAAACTCTGTGTCAGGCTTGAAATGGGCGACAGTCAACTGAAACTGACTGGCTTGAGGGACACGGGAAGGGGGGCAGTGTGGGCGCAGGGCTTTCAGGCTGGCATGGACAGGCCAGGAGCCCAAGAACTTTCACCAATCCAGGGGCTTAGTTTGGCATCACTAAGGTCCCGGGAGGCTGCTATTTAGACTCTGAGACGCCCTCCAGACAGTGTTGTCATTTCTCAGCATCTCCCCATCTTTTCAGTCTCTCCCCATTTTTAAATCAAACCTGTAGCTTTTCCTGCTCCAGCTCTGTAGTACTGACAGGCTTTGTTTTGTTCTTTGCAGGATCCAAGTGGAGCTATTTGGGTAAGTAGAGCTCTTCAATACTCTTGTGACAACGAGAGAGATGGTGGCAGCAGTCTCTCCAGGTTGGTGAGAAGACCTTGATTCTGGGCAAAGGGTTTCTGAAGATGCGCCCTTTTGTGCGCGTGTGAGCTGTGGGCCACAGGGTGAGCATCCAGATTCCTCAGAGATGTCTACCCCAGTGAAAGCCACCAGGGCCCTCAGATGGAGAGAGCTTCCTGCTGTCAGACTATCATCCTCCAGAGAGCAGAACACAGGGGTTTGTCTCTGACATTTGACTCAGGCCCCAGGTTGATATGTTGATATGTTGATATGTCTGGAACACACTTTGTGTTGCTCCATGTATGGGTGATCCAAGGCAGACAGAACATGGGGAAGGTGGGGGTGCGTGTCTTCAGAGGGGGAGGGGCACGGTGTGTGAATGAGCCAAACCAGCCCCACCTCCAGCAGGCTGCAAAGCCAGCAATTGGGCCCAGGGGAGTGTCACTGTCAGCTCTTGTGGTGATGGGAGGCCAAGAACCTGGCTTCCTGGGCCCAGGCTGGAATATTCATGGTGTTTTGTTCGTGAGAGAGTCACAAGGAGTGGGCAAGTCAGACTTGATGGTGAGCAGGAGGCAGGAAGAGGCTTCCTGGCCAGCGCAAGGCGGGGGTAGGCAAGGTGGGGGGTTGCAACGGCAGAAGCAGAATGCAGTCTTTTTTGTGGGGGAGGGGAGGCCACACCCGGCGATGCTCACACGTTACTCCTGGCTCTACACCCAGGAATCACTTCTGGCGGTGTTCAGGAGACCATATGGGATGCTGGGAATTGAAGTTGGGTCGGCCATGTGCAAGGCACGACCCTCTGTGCTATCGCTCCAGCCCTGCAGAATGCAGTCTTGGCTGAGCAAAAGTTAACCATCACCTGTTTGTTCGCCCAGGAGGCAGAGGACGATCACTGTATGAGTTCACACTCCTCTTTGTTCTGCCATCACCGAACTCTATCATTGCAGAATGTCCCCCTTTGGATTTATTATGTTTATTTAAATGTTGCTTAGCAGGCACAAAATTTGTAGGGTAGGTTGTGGTCTGTAGCCAGGAATTACTTAAAGCTCACAATTCAAAGCAGAATATGACAGATAACAATGACAGATAACAACCAATCAGCTCTGATGGTTCAGAGGAAGATGAGCATGTAGGGACTGGATGGTCAAGGAAGTCTTCCTGAAGGAGAAAGGCTTTTACCTGCAACCTGAAGACTGGGGAAAGTTCGGGGGCCAAGTGAGGGGAGGAAATGCTATTGGTGAATGTGTGGGTGGGACCTCGCACTTCATGAGAGGGGTAAATAGGCAAGATAGTGTGTGAGGAGCAATAGCACAGCGGGTAGAGTGTTTGCCTTGCACGAGGCTGACCTGCTCAACCTTGAGTTTGATTCCTCCGCCCCTCTCGGAGAGCCCGGCAAGCTACTGAGAGTATCTCGCCTGCACAGCAAAGCCTGACAAGCTACCCGTGACGTATTCGATATACCAAACACAGTAACAATTCTCACAATGTTACTGGGCCCACTTAAGCAAATCGATGAACAACGGGAGGACAGTGACAGTGTTTGAGGGGAAGCATGGAGGAGTTAGAGGAGCATGATCTAGGGAGCCAGCCTTGTCCTTCCCCACTTTGGACAGTAGATGGAGGAGCTGGACGGGGCAGTCTGGGCTGTGGGAGGAACCGGCTGTTTCTGGGGCGAGAGACGTGGGGAAGGACAGTGGGGAGGCTGGGTGGGCTGGTTCTTGGAGAATCCCTGCTCTGCACGTGGGATACACTTCACGAAAGCGGTTGCGAGAGTGAAGGAAAGAGCACAGCAGGGCCAGCGTGGATGCAGTGAGGAGGCCTGGAGGGGTGAGTCTGGAGAGAAGCTGGGACTTGGAGCTCAGGCCCTTTCCACGGGGATTCAAGGATTCTGGCTGGAGTGCCTGGATCTGGCTGGGGAGGAGCTTGTCAGGATCAGAGCTCCTGGGGCTGGAGTTCAGGGGTGTCTGTGGGACCCACTCCTTCCCACGGCACCACATGACCTCCCAGGCACCTGTGTCTGGCCCCAGGCGTTGGTGCTCTGCTGGGTCGCTAAGCCCTTGATGACCTGCCGGCTTCCTTAGCTAAGTGTTGCTGGGCATCACCCTGTGCTCCTGAGCAATGCTTGGGGGGCCAAAATGAAATCAATACATCTGTGGTCCTCAAATTCTTGCTTTGGGTCACTGGCATCATGTCTGCCTAGATCAGAAGCTTTCCACACATGCGCAGCTCACTAGGCCTTCCCTGGACCTGCAGGGATGGGGTGCTCTGAGGAGCCCCAGCTTCTCATGCATGCCCACACTACAGATCTGCTTAGCCCTGGCTCCCTGTCCAGTTGGGCCAAGTCAGTAGTCTCAGGTCCTGCTTCTCTGCTGAGTCTCCCCACCTCTCGTGACACCCCTCAGCAGAGGTGGGTCCTACACAGCAGAGAGCCGAGAAGCATGGGTGTTCAGGGAGGGAGGGCGTCTCTGGGCAGCTGCACCTCTGCACAAGCATTTCTTCCCGCCGCCTCCAGCCAGCCTGCAGTCTCCTGCCCTGTACCAGTGGAGCAGCCCTTTGCTGAGGAGGCAGAAGGACGAGTCTGAGGTTGCTTGACGTAAGGAGGGGGGTGTGCAGAAGCCAGCTGGGCTCAAGCAGTGGGGAGCAGTGAGAAGAACCCCTGGGCACAGGTAGGGTCTCCTCAGAGAAGCCAGCATACTCATGGTGCCGCTGTGCTGAGTCATGCAGCCAAACAGTGAGCCGGGCATCAGTGCTGGGTGCACTGGGGGCACCTTTCTAAAGACAAAGGGTGCCCTGGATAGACAACCAAGTGCCCCAGGCTGCCTTTCCCAGGCACAGACCCACTTTTTAGGAACCTGCTCTTGGGTGAGCCTGTGCCTCCCCCCCCCACACACATACACACGCAGAGAGTGAGACTCACACCTTCTCCGCTGAGTCAGGAGAGAACGCTGGAGAGGGGTTCCCCCTGGCCACGCGGTCTGGGAGCAGCAAAGCCGAGGGGGTCCCCGTGGGAATCAGCTGTAGGGCAGCCTGTGCCCAGCATGAGGAGTGGCGGCAGCTGCAAGGAGGGTTGTCACGTGAGTGGGGACAGACTCTGACCTGCTGGAGCAGCTCTGCTGGGTGTGGGGGGATGATGAGCGGGAAGCAGGAGTTGGGGTGCTAGTCACGTTGAGTTCCTGGTGAGTGGGTGCCTTGCTGACTTTGTGGAAATGCAACACCCCAGGGTCCACGCACCCTTCTCTAGGTGCGTCTGGTCAGTAAACTCCAGTCAAGGCATCCCAAGTGGCTGCGAGAGTCATCCTTGCTCTGATAGTTCTTCTCTTCTGGTCTCACCCTCCCACCAAAATAAACAAGCACAACCCCCAAGCCAAGCCGAGCCAACAGACCCAGCATGCTCCAAGCAGCTGAACCACCAGGGAACCAGCAGCCTGAGAGCCAGCAGCCCAGGGCCCTGCAGGTGGGGAAAGGCCCGGAGGCTCTCGCTGCTAAGGGCCTGGGGGCTGCTCAGTGCTCTAGCTGTCAGCTAGTTCGGACACAGAACCTCTCATTTAGAGAAAAGACAAAGGAGAGGGCCTAGAGGGGGAGTGTGGAGGCCATCCCCGCCCCCATGAGCATATCCCCCCTTTCCTGGAGTCTGACAGTGCCCCATGCCCAGTAGCTACATCTACTATATCACAGTGCCCCCAACAGGACACCCCGCAGAAAACAAGAGAACCCTGGGCTGGAGCACAGGCCGACCAGCATGCAGGAGCTCTGGGTTCCAGCCCAGCATTATCCTGTGAGCACTGTCAGATATACCTCCCACCGCTCATCCCCGGAAAGTATTTTAATTAAGAAGAATCTTGAGGGGCTGCAGTGCTAGCACAGCGGGTAGGACATTTGCCTTGCACATGACCAACCCGGGTTCGATCCTCAGCATCCTATATGGTCCCCCGAGCACTGCCAGGAGTGATTCCTGAGTGCAGAGCTAGAAGTAACACCTGTGCATTGCCAGGTGTGACCCAAAAAGAAAAATAAAAGAATCTCAATTTTACTGGCGATCTCTCCCTGACTCCTATTCCACCCTGAGGGGGAGTCAAAGGAGCATAACACCCCCAAAGGAAAAGTGAGCAAAAAGAGGCCAGAGGCTGGGAAACGAGCTTCTCTCTCAGTAGTCCTGAGTCTCCAGGGCTAGCACCAGTTCACCGTCACACACTCAACCCACAGTCACAGTTCCTGCTCCCTGAAGCGGCACCCTCAGCCTGTCTGCCCTAGGCTAGGTCACCTACAGAACAATTCCTTGCTTTTAACCAAGAGTTGCAGAATTGGGGTTTGTGAAGGTCATGTTGGCTCTTGGCCTGCAGCAATCCCGAACTTGCCTGCTACTGTTCCCTGCTGGCCGTCCAGCTGGGCAAAGAGGCAGGGAAGCCACCCTTCCTCCATGCAGGCGGGAGAGACAAAGGTCGCGTGTGTGAGGGTCCCAGAGTGGGCTTGGCTATGGCCCCTGGCCGACCGGCTGCAGGAAAGTGACTGCACCTCAGTGAACTTTGTTTTTTTCCCTCCATTGCAAAATGGGATTGTAGCCCCCACCGTAGTTACTCTCTGCTTTGCCCTGCTCCAGCCCTGCCAGCCCCACTGGGAATTCCAGGGGCCTTTCTTTCCTGAACACCTAGAACTTGGGAAGCTCTTGGAAGGCCAGCAAGAGGGACCCCACCAGGAGGGACCCCCCACCAGGATGTACTTCCCTCCCCCCTCCCGCCAGCCCCACCATCCCTTTAGCGGCGAGAAAAGCATGGGCTGTGATTTGGTTAGAAATTCCAATTCTCTGGCTCAGGCCAATCTCTAGAAGGTTCTTTCTAAACCTGTCCTGCAGGTCAGGGGATTCTGAGCAGCCCTGACTGATACTTGCCTGGCTTTAGGGACCAGTTCTCACCCCCTTGCTCCTGCCCACGGCTGTCGTGGAGTCGGGCACCACGGCCCCTCCC